GTATAAGGTATATTATTATACGAGCGGTATAGAATTATAAATAATAAATATAAAGTTAAATATAAGTATATTAATAATATATATAAATAATAAAGTAAAGTTAAGTAATAAAATAGTATATTATATTATTTAATAAGATTTCTTTTATTAAAATAAAGAATAAAAATATTATTAAAATTATTTATACGAATTATATAAAAAAATATAAAATATATTATAATATAAATAATATATAAATAATATTTAATAATATATTATAATATATAATAATATATAATAAATATAAAATTAAATATAAAATTAAATATAAAATTAAATAAAAATATATTAATAATATATATAAATAATTAAGTACAATTTATTTATAAAATAATATATTATATTAATTTAAGGTACGGTTATAAGCCTATAAATATTAATAAATAAATAAAGCTTTCGGAGAATTAAATAGTTTAAAAGATATATATATAATTTTAATCTTTTAATTAATTTAATCCGGTATTTATTTTATATAAAACCTAATTTAAAAATAAGTTATTATTATATAAATATTTTTATTTAAAACCTTATTAAAAATATTTTTATAATATTATTATTATTTTATATATTTTATTATTATTTTAATATAATTTAATAAACTATTTTTTAAATAAAAAATATTATTAAAATTATTTATTACGCTATATAATATAATATAAATTATAATATTATATTATAAATTTATTTTATTAAAGTTATTAATATATAAAAAGTATTAAAGCCGATAATAAAAGTTATTTATATAATTAATTTTAAAAAATAAATATAAAAATAAAAATAAAAAATATATATTAAACTTTTATTATTATATAACGTATTTAATCGTTAGAATTATTAATAATTATAGGCTCCTCGATCGTTTCCGTAACTTCTTTATTTTCTTTACTTTCCTCCTTAACTTTAATACCGCTTTATTTAGCGGTATAGAAACTATATTTACTCCTATAATCCTTTTACTTATAATTATTATAAGTATTACCTTAATACCTATTTATCGTATAATAATCTTTAAAGGGCCCTCTATTAGGCTTATTAGTATAAGTAATATAAGGAAAAATAATTTATAAACTACGGCTTTAAATTAAAACTATATTTAAGTAGCTCGGACGAGCTAGTACTTTAGCCCCCTTTATTTTGCCGGGGATATATTTAATATTAACCGATAGTAAAGCCGAAATTATTTATTATATTTCCTATATATTTATTAAGAAAAGTATTATCGTATAAGTAAAATATATATTAATATTAATATAAAAATTATTTATTAGCCTTTTAATATAAAGTTAATTAATATCGATAACCTCGTACGAATTACGAATAATAAAAACGAAAGTTATATTAAATATTTATTTAAAAGTCGATTAATTTAAATAATTAAAAGTTTATTAAAAAAAAACTTTAATTAAAATTAAACTTATACCTCTAAAAACTTCAAAGCCGTATATACCGCTTAATTATTATACTTTAAAATCTTATTACTTCTTAAACAATAATATATATAAACGATAGCTTTCATAAACTTTATATAATTATTATATAATTTTTAATTATTATTATCTAACATTCATACACATTTACTATATAATATTTATATTATTCTATCCTCTAATATTTATACTATTCTATTCTCTAATAAGTTTATTATATAATTATCCCAAAATCAAATATTTATCTTTTTTCATTAACCTTTACTATATAGTACATACACGCCTTAATTAAAATAATCCAGCTCTA